AACTATCGCATAAAGGTCATTTACTGTTGTATATACACCATTTACTGTAAGTATATATACCTAATTACATTTAAAATAACATGATAAAAACATCAGATGTCTTTACACATTTCATTTTGAGAAAAATGTACTTACAATGTTAACTGTCAATAAATGAAAATAAAAGTGTCTTACCTTAGCAGTGTATAATTTTTAGGCATCTAATTTAGGATATTTATTTTCACACACCGTCAACCACATTGTACGGTGTGTATATGTATACATACAAATACATTAAACTACACGACAAACATAGCTCACTAACTTGTGGTGTTTAATTTAATTTACAAAGCCAACTTACTTTCATATTCTGCAGTTAATTTTACAGTAAGTACACCTGTGTTTCGGGCAATGCTTTACATATTTGCAAAGTGAGAAAGAAGTTTTAATCTTATGCGTTGAACTCCAATTAACCATAAATAATTAAAATCAATGGAATGCATTGCATCAAATGAAAATCATGGGACCAAGATTGGAAATTAAATGACTATGCCCGGTCTATTATTGTGTAATAACAGAGCTAGAACCATGGCGAGAGGCAATTACTACATAATAATGAGCAGTCCAAAATTTCAAAAATGTTCCCCTATGGTTAGCGCACCGAAAGACCACAAGCAAATGAGAAATACGAAATACTAGGGTTCGTAACGTGAACGAATCATGTTTTTTTTAATTAAGAAAAAATGTGATCAAACATTCGATATTGTTGATTTATAAGCGATGTTGTTCGTGTTATTGTCTGATAACTAGGTGGAACGTGATACCAATCGATCGATAGAAACAAATAGTATTACCGACAAAAATAATTAATGCCAGACAGGGGTATATCAAATACTCTTTGTTATCAAGAGAGAAGGATCACTAGTTTCATAATATTAATGTTAGACACATCTACACAAAGTTCTTCGTGCTTATATGCAGTCATTCTTTGCGCCTTGGCAAAGAACCGGTACTTTGAAGTCGAGTATAAAATAACGGTGTCATTCGTTGTTGTTCGTATCAAATGTACACATATGTGTTCTTGTTAATAAAACAACATATTAGGCAGCCAGCCAATATAGTGTAATATTTAGATAGATGGCATCTTCGTGTTACAAGCAAACAGACTAGCCAATCTCACTCTATCTATCTATCTATCTATCACTAGGGTGGATGACAATTTTAGTTTTGCCCTTAAATGGTATTATGACGTCATTCAAAATGGCCGCCATAACGGTACAGACTATATGGGAAATGTTATTGAAGCAAATCGCAAGCCTGTGTTGATCAGCGAGTGACAGATGACGTCATAGTGCGAAGGCATATCTGGACAGCACGTATTGGATCAGTACTTTACAATATTTTAAAGCGGGGAGTCGTCACCTGCGCATGCGTCAGATGGCCATAGCGTGTCATTGTTTACAAACAAGAGTCTACCCATGGGCCTTTGCGTTTCTTTGCGTGTGTTGTTATCATCGCTTTGGACTCCATTTCCGCGCGTGCGCAGGTGACTACTCGTTCGCTTTAACTCAATGAGTATAAATACTGTTTGAAACAGCTGCATCTATTCCATTAAACAGTTACATTAATCAATAGGTGAGTAAAACTGTTAAAATGTTAACTATTCCATGTAATGCGTGCATTGTGATTCGGTTCTGTATTACTACTGGCATTGTTTATGTACAATTGTGACCACAGTTTAAATTTATCGTGGCAAGGAATATGAAAAGCAGATACAGAATTGTACAGACATATATATCTGAACAGGTGCTTGTTGTATGGCAATATTTCCACGCATCAATGACTGATTCAATAACACATATACACATTGGTTATATTGATTTCGTTATTCCTCGAATATGCCACATCTTGTTCTACGCAAGAAGTGAAATGTCAAATTTATAGTACATTTCCCACGTGTGATTAGTTATATCGACGTGTTGTAGCTTGTCTGGCAACTAATCAGTTTCGCGTGGCTGTACAAATCCGTCACACTTGTTTTACTATAAGCAGAAATTATTTGCAACAAGCAGCTATGCCACCGCAATTTTAGGTATGTCTATGCCGAAGTAAAGAATTAAACATGTCAAACACGACGTTAAAAATCAAACAGTCTTCAACAAATTCATCATTCAATTATTCAAATACTCGAGACATAAAACATCATCTCCAACTTGCTAAATTTAACCGCGTGAGCAGACAGAATAATTTTATTTGTGAATGTCACTATGATTGCATTTCAATTTGCGCTTATTCAGTGCTATTAATGCAGATAACATATTAGGTGTATTATTATATTAGTCTACCCATTACATACTTCCTGTGATATATTGACAAAGGATCTGATAACACCATGATTTTGCAATTAGAGTTTGTGTATTGATATAACCTTATACAACAATGTTTCAATACATTCATGTAATGATCATGTATGTCAGGAATATGACGTACATTGACTAGGAATACATCTCGCAATGTATTGACAAATTAGGTTTACAAATAACCACCTCTGATTAGCTGCCATTGTTCACTCACTAATAATTTATTTTTTAACTTGTGTTTAAAACACAAGCACATTACACATTTATTGACTTCTATTAAAATACAGAAGCATAATTACTCTATACAACAAATAAAAAAATAACAATAACCTACCGAGGATATTATGTATGAATTATTAGTGTGGTACTTTGTTGAGAATGTACAATAACTTCATTACACATAGAATGTATATGTAAAAGTGATAAATGTACCTGTGAAAAAATTAAGAGATAACCAGAGGCGAGTACACGACGACATATCCTAATGCGGACAACTGTGGTATGTTGTCTATTTAACCACGGCTTATCTAACTAAAAAACACGCTCTCGACCAATCAGAACGAAGTGCTCGACAATTGAAATAGTAATGTATTATAGGATTTTAGACTATTTTATTTGCAAATATAATTCACCACAATCAGGATTAAAAAAGAGTTGTTTTCATCACAATGAAAAAGTTATAGCCACATCGTTGATGTGAAAAAATGTTTTAATGTTGTTTGGGAGATTGAAATTTCAATTCATCAGAATGATGCTGCTGCATGACCATTACCCATACTACGTTATGAACACTATCACTTACGTGTGAAAACATCCTACCAAGTCAATAGTTGTGGATATAATAAAAATATCATCACTGTACCTAGTGCAACATTATGGTACATTATTACTAAACTTATCTGAATATAATCTGATAAAAATATAATAAATATATAATGTATAATATATTTCGCATTAGATAATCCACTCACTCATGTATAGCTATTTTGCAAAAACATATCCCACCTGGAATACATTATCTCTTTAGCACTGTCCTGTACTACATATAAATTGATCTTTTTCTCATGGACGTACGGAAGTACATAGGTGAGGTGTTTCAATGGTTGGGTGTGTTATATCCTATCCGATTATGCCGTATTTAAACATTGCATCGAAAATATGGAACTTCAATTAATCGACACAAGCTATCCGCATATCTTAGAATTGTTGAATAATTGGAGTTATATAATGAGCAATATATCAGATATCTTGTCGATTGTCTAAAATATTTCGGTCGGCTCCAAGATCACAAGTAAAATTAAAATAGAAAAAGATCTTGTATATAATACCATATACATCTTGATATGTTGCAATTTGACGTTGTATATGCACATAGTGTAGTGTTTAATTTTCAAATCAGAAAAAAATACATGATATTATTTTAAAATTGACAGTATATATGACAAATTCGTTAATTTAATATAGTACATATATTACATAGGTGAACTATAATGCAGATTGAGAATACCGTCACCACACCAAAGCTGCAAATTACTTATCCTTAATAAGATATTTACACTAGGTTGTTAATCTTCTTATGACAAAACTCATTCATCATATGACATAATCATCATATTTTTTTTAAGAAAACAAAATTGAGTCTTGCATCGTTTATTCATTCAACAATAACCCAGTCTGACATTGGTGAAGAATTCTCCATGACAGTACTGCTTTCTATTCAAATCTCTTTTATAGCGGAAATCGATTTAGCTTATCAAAGGTACAACCGGTATAATAAAGTATCAATACAGATCTGTCGTCAAACAGATGTCTCTTATTTATTAACACCGGGAAACGAAAGAGTAACTTGCATTTTGAATAATTAACGTCACCCATGTTTATAGAAATCATCGTTTTCAACGTCTCTGACTTGTTTTGAATCTGTATGTTATGTCTAGACACTACCTTATTTTGGCTCATTGAAGTTGAAATACAAATGGTGTCATTATGACATCGATTGTGTTTTGTTCAAAGGGTAACCTATCCCAAATAAGTTATTATAGTTTTTAATTGTCTTGCAATGAATAATTATTAAAATGTGATTTCAATGCAGTATGATCCAGCTTCTAAACTATCGGTCTACATTTCAAAGACAACGCCCCCTCCCAAATGTCGTCCATTCTTAAGAAATTGTGTTATAAATTATATATCTTTCAAATCTAATCAACCTATATTGTGAATAATGAAAATAATAAACAAAACCATATTTGACAAACGACGATGTTTACTGTAATTATAGACAAGCAATATATTGTTTATATATTAGTTGGATTCGTTGAATGTTATTATTCAACGTCCACTGGCGGTTAGCAATAACGTCAATAATCTGAATATAAATTCACCTTACTAATGTGTGCCTGGTTGTTGCTAGTCAGTATAATACGATATGTTGAGAACCTCTATCCTTGAAAATGTTTTGATGGCAATATAAAATGTGCTTGAAAAAGTGTTATAGCTTCCATAAAAAACATTAAGAGACATTTTTAAATACACAGACATACTTGTTATATGCACACACTGAAAACAGTGCTGGTTAACGAAGAAGAACGGCTAAATAGTTTCCTATTGTTATCGTTGCCAATATACTGAATAAATCACACAGCACGTTGAAAACACGTTCAGTCACGTGTCTGTTTGTTGTGGGCTTTCATTCACGACAGATTGTTTTCTACATTTACAAAGAAATATTGTTTTCATGGTCTTGACAAATGTGTTTCTCAGCTCTTTTATCCTGATGGCATAGACGAACGGATTCATCGCCGAATTGGACACTTGCAGAACTAACATAATGGCTCGCATATCGAAATGCGATATGCTGAAACAATTTTCACAATTAAACGAAATGAACATGACCTGTAAAGGAAGAAATGTACACACCATACAAATCATTATAATCCCTAGTGTTATTACAGCCTTATACGCTCGGTTTATTATGTGTAGTTTTTTGCGCTGAGTGGTCGGACTATGCGCCTCCATACTGTTCTCTGATTCCACTGTGTCCCCGACAGTGGTCGGTAAATTAATAGTAGAAAGCTCACATGCCGTGTTGTGAGTTTGATTCCTTTTAATCTGATTTGCCCGTGGTGCAACCCGCCGCGCGTGTCTATACGCCACGCAAAATAACCTTCCGTACAGAATAAGCAGAATTACAGTAGGTAAAAATGTGATCAACCAATACCACAAATAGGCGGATTTTGCATCAGAGAGAATTTGCACATTGATGCAGGCTTGTATGTCCTCGGTATGCCATATCATAACAGGCATTGATCCTAATATGATAGAAACGATCCACTGGACGACTACGATCAACATAAACCGCTTGCCCGTGACTATATCAGTATATTTTAATGTATAACTCACGCTGATATACCTATCAATACTCATTGTCATCAGCGCTAGCACAGACCCAACGACTGCTACGGGTTGAGCCGAGAAAATAACACCACAGTAGATAACATTGGTACATGAATATGGACGTATCACAGTGAAGGTGACGTGAAATATAAAAACTATCCCATTAAACAAATCCGCACAGGCAAGGTTTATTATACAATAGTTGTCAATGCTTTGTAGCTTTTTGTTCAATCCAATACATAGTAAGACGGCTAGATTTTCCAGAATAATTGCTACAGCAACCAGTGCAACGATTGCTAGATAATACCACTCAAAATCATGATATTCCTCCAGTCCGATGTCGGCAATATAGGCCGTCGTCGTCGTTGTCGTCGTCGTCGAGGGAAAGGTGCTCATCATTCCAGTTTTTATGATAGTTGTATAGAAATAATCAGAAATGTATTTAACTGTGGTTTAACCGATGTTACCCGTTTATATACGTATTTGGTTTATCCGTTGTTTAAATGCATGATATGTTGAAAATTCATTGTGACTCTATCTCAGAATGGTCCTATGATATACATGTAGTATACGTCTGAACCTACCGTAGTCCTACCGCGTCCGTTGAATGTATTTCCTCGCTCAAATACGTATGCTGCTCGTGGGGAGTAGTATATTGTAAAACGTTGTTGTCGAGTATCCGTAGCTTAGTGTAACGAATCAGCGGGAAAATGTTGAACATATGCTGCCACAAAATGAATAAATAATAACAAATAATTACACTCAATGCCGTCGGTCGATTTCACGGCATAGTTCGCAATCCAGTAGCATGTGTGTCATCTGTATTATGCTAATTATCCTACGAGCTGGCCATCGTTTTCACGAGTCACGCGTTTGGTGTGGAACAAGTAACAACATTGTCGTATCTCGTAGGGGTTAATTCAGACTGATCTAATATAATGTCCACCTCTGTGTTGTGCTGCATCTGTCGTAAATCAGCATGCACAGGAATGAAGCGGCGTTGCCTAGTGAACAAATACTCTCTACAGTTGCACTACCTAGATGGAAGGTTCTATTTGTAGACCGGGTATGTAGGTGTAGGAAGTGCGATGTAACATCTGGTGTAAAAGTTCACATCACGTATTGAAGGTTTTGACTTTGCAGTTTCATCTTAAATAGATCACGATTTATTTAAACATTTGTGTGTGCAGCAGTATGATAGTGCTAATCTATATACTAGTATATGATATGGTCGTTTGTATGCTACGGTTATATATTATTACAAATTTAAAGTACGTAAAATACACATGATTTGTAATTGCATATTACGGAAAACGATTATTCGTTTGCGCTAATAGCGTACAATTGTACGTATTGCTGTTGTCCCCACATTTAATGTATTTGAAATTGCTAAAGCATACCTTAATACTAGGTTTTATTTGAGTCCAGAATTATATTCTGCGCGTTGTTTGTGACGTCAAGATTTTAAATACATATGCAATCTAGTCATTGTTAGTGCTCATTCAATACACGCTGTTTCAAGCTGTCCTTTTTGGAACAGTGCGTGATGGCGTAACGGGAGCCCGTCTGCTAACAGTGACGCGTGTTCAGATTTTTTAGCTCGAATTTTGTGTTTCTTGTTTATATGGCTCCGAATGTGCCTGTCATTTCGATTTATACAATATGTTTACAGTATCCGTGAAGGGAGGTTATTAGTTACAGAGAAGCTAAATCTCAACATTGCTCCTTATTTGTCAGTTTTATGAAGCTTTTACAGACTTTGAGTGTAAAACAAGACTCCCAACTCAGTGTGTTGAACAAATTTCAAGTGACATATGTCAGGTCTGATCCTAGGAGAATGAAGTGACATCAAGCATTTGATGATTTACATTATAGTGGAATGCGAGAGACGTTGATTTGCCTCTCCTTTAGAACAATTATTCAGCGGTGAATCGATCAAGAGTTTGTCTGGGGACACACATCGTCGTGTCCTTGAGACGCAACGTAAAGAATGATGTTATCGTCCCTTGGGTTGACTGCGCGGGTTGGCCTCAAATTGGGTTTTAATAGCATGATCTACAAAAGGTCACAAAGTAAGCGTTAGTGACGCAAATGAGAGTGATTTCCTGGAATAATCAATTCGCAGTCGTCGCTTCATTTTACTACACAATCATGTATGCCCATATTCTAAAAATAGACAATTAAAGGTGTCCTAACACGAGCAGGTACACGCATGTGGTTATAGCTATATGCTCCGTAAAATTTTGCTCGTATTTAATATAGCTATATAGGTTACTCATATGGGTAACGATCGTAGTGGTTCAGTACATAGTTGGCATGTTATAAGGCTATATAATTGTATTTTGATTACGTAGCGCTTGTTTTAGTTTGATTATTTGAAAATCTCATGGGAACAACCATTCCCGCAGACATTTATAATTAAATCAGGACTGTCATATTTGTAAACTCAAAAACCTCGGTGGGTAAAACATCTAATTTTTACTCACTTCCAGTAGAACTAGGCAGATAGAAGGCGACATTTGTGTGATGGTAAACGGGTACTCGCCGCGACATTGATGTACAAACAGAAACAACACATAATGAATAATCTTAGATCTAAATTCGATAACACAATCAACTTTTTCTTGAATATATTTCGCTGTGTTCTTTGACTGTGTTCCGATTGTTGTTTTTTTTTTACACATAATCGTCGCATAGACGGGGGTCACCTTTGCGATGATTTGTTTACTAAATGTCTATAACAGCAGCAAGAGTCTCCTGCAAGGCTCGTTATACTACTGTAACAGCAGTAGTTGTGGTAGCTATAAACACAAAATAAAACGGGTAGTAAGTATAACGGTGAACACACGGTCTTACACTGTTTAGTCTGTAAACACGACTCGGTATAGGCATAATACAAATCATAGAACATATTTGCAATTAAGTAACCAGGCTTCAATGAAACAAATACTACATCTTCAGGTGCATGCATCCTATAACGATTCAGCTAGCTCAAGTGTGACATATTTTTTGAAGCAGAACAATGACTTGACGGCTTGCATTCAGTAACTTACGAACGACTAAATTTATGTTTTGTTTTACAAATTACATGAAAACGAATTTTAAAACACCGCAGCATACAAATTATAGCTTGCGTACGTAAACGCTGGTCTATTTAAAAATTTAATGGCAGCTATTGTTGTATGTTTAAATTATTTACAATTGTCATTTTGCGAGTGAAGAAAACACTGGACGCCAAAATAATTAATGCTTTGCCTTCTGTCAGCTAGCTAGCGAAGGTTCTCTCGCCACGTTGCAAACAGAATTGATCGACGTGGCTCAATGTATTCACCGTTTTGACAGAAAACACACTTCAGCCGACCAATTAAAGGTCCTTATTCGTGATGCTTTGAATTTTGTTGGCTACAGTAGAACGTTAATAATCGAGTTATTCATCCAACCAAGGCGTTCGCTTTTAATACACAATGATAATGACCCATAATATATCCCTGTTTTTATCTTGTGTAATATATGAACCCGCGTGGGTGATAAATACCAGGAAAAGTAATTAGTTTGAAACGTGCACGTGACGACAGAGATAAGAAAAATCCCAACAAAACAGTCTTACAGTTGCCATAGTTACACTTTCGGTCACACTATTTGTTGATATTCACAGCTCCTAAATCATTGAAACTTCAGCATATGATAGCAGTATAGCGTTATTTCCCGAGACGTGTACCATATAACAGCTACATTATACTGACGTTGTAACAACACCGGAGAAGTGAATTTGTGGCGAAAACGCTAATCTTGTAAGAAACTATTTCAGAAATCAGAAAATTTCACAAGGTTGATTTATCATTCAAAAATAGGTATATTTCTGCATAAATGTGAAACGTGAAATGAATAAATGTTGGCTAAATAAACTGATGTTGAGTATATCAATCTTCACACTAAAACAACGTTGGAAACATATCATTCAATAAGCTGTCTTTAAAAAGAATGGTTCGCGTAGATATAAACGTTTTCTATTAGGCTACAAATGCACCTATTTTGTCACAACGAAACTGATGCAAAGACATTCTATACAGAAGAGATATTGTTAGTATGCTTGATTTTATAATTGACAACGTATTTGTTGAGTTTGGAGACCCATCTTTCAACAATAAAAAAAAAAACAAGCCAAATTGTTAGTTTCACGTTCAGGTACATAGATGATGTACTATCCAACAACAATCCTACTTCCATTGATTATCTGCCTGGAATATATCCACCTGAACTATAAATAAAAGAAACAACATAATCAAATACTTCTGTATTATATCTTGACATTTATCTGGAAATTTATACCAAAGGCCACATACTAGATTATATGACAAAAGAGATGATTAGGATTTCGCCATCATTAATTTGTCTACACATTACCAGTAACATTTCACGTACTCCAGCCTATGGTGTATACATTTCACAACTTGTTCGCCATGCTAGAGTGTGTAATACATATACTGGATTTATAAATCTATTAGACTGAGGCATTCCTAAAGAGCATCTTGCCAGGATATTCAAAAGATTTTTGACAGGTATCAGGAGCTTGTGAAAAAAACAAAAATTAGTACTGTTAGACAGATGGTCTCTGCCATTTGTCCTATGTAGGACGAAGAGCACTACCTGTACCTGTAGGCCAAACGTCGTAAATATTTATTGAAAACGCACCAAATTAAGTTGAAATTTATAAAAACGTTCTGTTATTGTAAATTCGTTTTCCTTGGCGCCAATATCTCATGAATACTGTATTTTGTCATTTTAACTCCCTCGAGCTTTCGATTCCGGGAATAATTACATTGGTTAGTATCATTGCACCAGCCAAAACATGAGATACGATAATTTAAATTTGTAATACATAAACAAAATAAAGGAGTCTCCGGATATAAATTAGCAACTACTGAATTAGAAGTACGTCTCAAAAAAAATACCGATTGTGTGACATACAAAATAGACCGCTAGTAGTGCAACATTTCCCCTAACGCTTTGACAAAAATAATTTGTGCTATGATCTCACTGTTTAATATATAAATATTAAATTAAATTTATTTATACATTTATTCATCTTATATTCACTGAGGTCAGTGCCCATGGCTGTCCATAAACAAGCGGTAAAAGAGCAACCACGTCACATGCTTTGAAATTAAAGTTAATGGAATTAATGTTCTGGGAAGAAAGACTCGCATTTACGAAAATGATTAAAAATTTATATTTAGCATTTGATCAGATCTGTCTGAAGAAAACGTTTTCAATCCCGTCTCCAAACTGCTCAGTACCTGTATATTCATTTACGAAAAAAATGTACAA